CGTAAGACTTGCGTATGAACATTCAGCTCAGGTGTCCTTTAATGGGTGAACGCTTGAACAAAGGGTGACATGTACAGATACTGGAAAGGGGCCATAAGCAAGGAGCCCAGGTGGCCACTGGAAAGAAGCAAGCAAACAGATCGCCCCTACAGCTTCTAGAAGGAACACAGTCCTGCCAACAACTTGACGTGACTCTAGCAACACAACAAACAGATTAGTCCTATCTTGAAATCATTTCAGACTTTCAAAGGAGGCTCAAAATACTAGAGAGCACATTGGGATACCCTTCACTCATCTTCCCATATGTCATCATCATAGTGATTATGAAAGTTAAGACTAACACATAACATCAATGCGTTATCATTAACTAGGTTTCAGTTTTTATTCAAATTTCATCAGTTTCCCCCTTTCATGCTCTTTTTTTTCCCTCGAGGAGCCAGTCCAGGATTCCCCATGTAGTTGTCATGTCCAGTTAGTATCGTCCCATCTGTTCTCAGTCTGTGTCTGTCCTTTATGACCTTGACATTTCTGAAGAGCACTAGTCTGATATTGTATAGACCTGTTCCCAGTTTGGGTTTGCCTGGTGCTTTCACATAACTTCACTGAGTTTCTACATTTTTGCCTTATACTCATAGGAGGACTTGGTGTCAACATGTCTACTACTGATGTTAATCTTGATCCTGTGGCTGTGGCAATGCCTCAAACAGTAAAGCTATCAATTTTCCTGTTACAGCTAACATTGGGGGAGATACTTTGAGGGGATGTAAATATTCTGTTTCTTTTCAAACTTTCACCCATTAATTTTAACAGCTAGATATTTCTTTCAGTTATGTTTTATTTTTTAAATATCTTATTATATTTTATGTGTATTGCCTGCAGGTGTGTAAGTGCACCCTTGTCGTGCAATGCCCGTGGAGATCAGAAGAAGGCGTTGGATTACCCCGGAACTGGAGTCACAGATGGTTGTTAGCCACCACGTGGGTGCTGCGAATCGAACCTGGGTCCTCTGCAAGAGCAGTCAGTGCTCTTAACCACTGAGCCATCTCTCCATCCCCCTTTCAGTTAAGTTTTAAAAGTGAACTTTTAAAAATGTAACTGGAATGGCCCTGTAAGGAAAAGCTATTTCTCTACAACATTCATTTATTTTTTTCAATTATTTATTTATAAGAGTCATAGGTATTTATTTTATTTTATGCCTAAAATCTAATGTTACTGTTAATTTAGTTATTCAAATTGTTCCAGTTTTGGCCTGTGGAAACTCTGTCAGGTTGATTCCTATGTCCATTTGACACAACACCCCTCCACTCTTTTTCAATGGTATCTTTGTTAAAAGGCTTTAAAAATAGTTTTAGGTCTACAAAAAAAATTTCAAAGACAATGTACAAGTTCCTGTATGTCCTTCACTCAGCCTTCACCAATACTAACATCTATATAACTGTGACAGACAGTTATCAAAGCTAAGGAATCAAAGTTGGAAAACATCCGTAAATTCCAGATTTAATTTAGATCTTGCCAATTTTCCTACTAACATCTTTTTTCCGTTTCAGGATCCAACCCAAGATACTGTGCTGCATTTAGGCCCCCACCCTATTTTAAGCACTTCATCGCTTATCACAAGATGCTCTTGTCTCATCTTGCATTTCCCCTGCCCAGTCCTGCAAGCAGCCACTCCTCTAAGCGCCCCACCCAGGGAGTTTTGAAAATACCAGTGCCCAGGCAGCTCCTCAGGTTAGTTTAGAATCTCTGGCTGGGAAATCTTGGCAGTGGTGTTTATACAAGCTCCCCAGACGACTCCAATGTTCATTTGAGAGTGGGAACACTGATTTTTATTTGACCTCTGGTGGATAAAGAATAGTTAAAAATGTGTTAAGCACCCAAATGTTGGAGACTTCCCTGCATTTTCTAGCTGGCTTTATGTTCGCTGTAAACTAGGGATTATTTTGTTCATCTTCAAAATCACCATCCAGCCTGGCACAGGGCACATAAAAGGTGCTCAGAAATGCTAAGTGAATGAAAATCAAATAAGTGAGCCACATCTTGATTCCCTTAATGAAATTATCGTGGCCTGATATTTTTCCTAATTGCTCATTCATTTTAATTTAGTCCTTTGAGCCATTCTAAGGTTTATGTCAAACACCTGTCTTCTAAAATCTCGAGTCAATGCCAGCGATGGAGCATGCAGGCTGTCCACCACAGAGCCACTGGGCAAACTTTCCATGCAGAGACTATTGCATCTCTTTCTGCCTGGACCACAGTGGTCACCTCTTCTCATCAGGCTTCTCTTCCACCACCTTTTCCTTCAACAGCCTTTAAGGCAAATGCGTCAGAAAAGGCAGATCACCTTTATCTACTTCACTTTGTCCCTCCTCCTTTTTCTAACCAGTGTCACCAGCTCAGCTTCTTCTACATAGAAGACAAAGCTCACAGGCTCTAGAGCAGGCCAAATCAGAGTCAAACCCAATTCTCCCATTTGCTGGACTCCTGGACAAAGAACTGGACCTTTCTGAGTCTCTGCTTCCTAGTATAAAATGGGGATAATTAGACCTTCCCTGCAGATTGACATGAGAATTTTTTTTTTTTTTTTTTTTCTAACCCAGAGAACAGGGTGTGCTCAGAAATGGCAGTTGGGAGCCAGGTCTACCGACACAGCCTGTGTATCCAGCTGTTTGGCAGGCTGAGGGAAGAGGACTGCAAGTTCAAGGCCTGACTGAGTTACAAGGAGGAACACTTGGTGAAACCCAGTCTCAAAAATGGAAAGTGAAAACTCAGGGCGGGGGCGGGGGGGGATGGGAGCTGAGGATGAGCTCAATAGTAGAGTATTTGTTGTAATATGCACAAGGCCCTAGATTCGATCCTTAGAGTCCTTCCTTCAAGGAAGGACGCAGGGAAGGAAGGAGGGAATGAAGGAAGGAAGAATGGAAGGAAGGAAAGAGGGAAGAAGGAATTGTGATTGTCACTGTTGCTATTGTTGATAAGAATCAGTTCTCTGAATCACCCACCATTATTTTGAAGGGGTAAAGCAAGACAAATGATTTCTGTGAAGGAAAGCAACAATTTGCCACCTGTCCGGGGATGGGACAGAAGTTCATTTAAAATTTGCAAAGTTCATCTACACAACCCAGAGCAAATAGTCAAAACTGCATGGAGGCAACCTCAGCTAAAGCAATCAACTGCTGACACCACCGTCTGCATCACCAACAGATAAGAATAGCTGATACTGGGGGTGGGGAGTATTAAAGTCTTCAAAGTAACTTTGCACCATTTTATTTAACTCCTCACAACCTCAAGGTGGCTGTTACCACCATTTCACAGATGGGGAAATGTAGTTGTATGACCTAGTCACTGAGCTAGCAAGTGATGGGGGACTCAGAAGGGAGGGGCTGTCTTTCTGGCTCTGACATCCTTGTGATTTCCCCACTCTTTCAGTTTTGGTTCTCTGGGTAAATTTGTAAGTGTCAGAAAAGCACAATGACCTCTGTTTGAAACAGTTTTCAAGAAAAAACTGAATTCATTGAAGAAAAGGCCAGGTTAAGAAAAACGGTGTCCCTTTGGCTCAGTGGAGGGATTGACAACCTATTTTGGTGGTGTTGTTTTCTTTTTTGTCTCAACAAATAAACAATCAACCAATTAACTTACCAACTTACCAAGACACTTAGCTTGTGCTGGAGGCTGTAAGAATACAAAGAAAGATGCCCAGGTTCTTCCCTTAAGCCAGTGCTGAACAGCCCTTGGCCCTACTAACTCTAGAGGTCAAGGGATGAAGGAGAGAGGTCTGGGAATGGCCTTCAAGAGGTGGAACACAACTGCAAGGATGATGGGAGAATAGGCTTGGGATGGAGGTAGCGCCTCTGCTGGGAATTTTTTTACATTTATTATTTATTTATTTACTTTGTGTGTGTGTGTGTGTGTGTGTGTGTGTGTGTGTGTGTGTGTGTGTGTATACAGCAAGCTTGTGGAGTCCAGAGGATAGTTTGTGGGAGTTGTTTCTCTCCTTCTACCAACTGGGTTCCAGGGATCAAACTCAGGTTGTCAGGCTTGGCAGCAAGTGCTTGTACCTGCGGAGCCATTTTACCAGGCCCTGGTGGAAAATAATAACAATAAAGGCCAAGGAAAAGAAGCAAGGTATGACGACAGCAGTGCTTGCAGTCTACATTTGTTTTTCAGAAGTAGTGAGTAATAGGCTCAAATAAATAGAGAGAGGTCTGAATACATGAATCATGAGAAATGGGCAGAACGTGCACACTGCTGGCTGAGCCACTGGGAGCTGCGAAAGTCTGGGGGCCAGGAGCACCAAAAGTTTACATTTAAGTCAACACTAACCATTTGCAAGGTACCTTCATACTGATTTGTTGCTTAAGTGCTCAACGTTCCACTGACACCACAAAATGACCAGCACCTTAGAGTATTAAAATTGGAAAAGCAGTATGACATGAAGAAACATTAACAGGTACAGAATTTCAGTTTTCGAACAATAAAGAAGGTAATTACAAGTAGCCAGGAGTGGAGCAGAGAAAATTATGTAATCTTAATGGCAGAGAAAATGCTCCAAACCAAATCTTTTTAAATGGTATGAAGTGCTTTCGCCTGTAATGACCAAGAGAGAAATCTAATTTTCATAAACTGTTATACCCAATATGAAGCTTACAAATTATGTTTTTATTCATGTGTTGTTAGAATTTTTAGTCATTTTAAACGGCACGTGGAAGAAGACTGCAATAACTGTGCTTTAAACCTTTAAACTACCCACTGACATAAGTAGCAAAATGCACCTAACTCTGCTAACTATATTAATGACATTGTTCTTTGACTATTAGGAGGAAAACTTCCAAACAGAATGCAAGCTTTTGTGATGTGGGACATGAAGACTTAAGAGTTTCTTTTTTTCAGACAAACGGATGTTCTAGAAATATATTTCAACCCCAAGCCCATGAAAGTATTTGTCGACTTTTTAATCTATATTCAAGGCCCAAACTATCAGAAATATTTTATTTCATTCTTACCTGTGGACAAACATGAAATCAAGGCGTAGATAAACCACATGATAAGACTTATCCAGATTCCTTCTAGAAGCATTTGAGGGGCTGTGTAGCAAACTTAGTTTGACCTGGAACATTGTTTCCTTCCAGAGCACAGCTTTCTGTCCATCTTAGCCATCTTGCTTCAGAAAGCAGTTGTTGGTGCTGAAGCCAGAGTTGCAGTGAAGCCTGAACTGTTGTGGAAAGAGGAGTTGGCCCAGACAATTCAGAAAGGGCGGGCTCTGCAGCACCCTACCTTCTGCTCAAACCTAGATATTACATCAAGGGGAGTGGCCTGGGAGAGTTCCAGAGGAAAGATAACTCTGGGGATCTTGAGAATTTGCAGGCTCCATGGGGGTAGGAAGGACTGAACTGGATCTTTCCAAGTCAGTGAACAGCCAGAATTACCTTCCCTATTCGTCAAATAGCTGTCCTCTTCCAAGTGTCCTTAGGCATGTTCGTTTGAGCTGGATGCCAATTAACTTTTTGCTAATACATACTTCAGAAAAAGCAGAGAAATTATTATTTGCAGTGCCAGGGGTTGAACCCAGGGCCTTGTACATGCTAGGCAAGCACTCTGCCACTAAGCTATATTTCCAGTCCTGACTCCTCATTTTTAAATACCATTTTAAAAGTCAAAGAAAAGAAATAATATACGGTTTTATATTTGCATGTGTTTTCAAAAAGAAAATCTAAGAGATAATAAGCTATGAAGATTAGGTACCTTGAGGGTAGAGGCAACAAAAATTGGAGATTAAAAATGGGAACAAAACTCTACTGAATATCTTTTAAAACTGATTACTGAATCATATGATTGATGCATGACTGGAAAATTAAAGCCAATTTAAAAATTTGAAGTAAATCTCTGTATAAAATTTGCCCTCTTAAACTTCAACTCCTCAGGGACTTTTAACACCCCAATGTGAAAATTATAAGGGTGAAATGAATACTGATTTTAGAATGAACATTGATTTAAGAACAGAATTTTTTTTTTTTGTTCCAGTTTCAGAACTTACTTGCAAGATAATCATTCAGTCAACAAACATTCACTAGGGATCTGATATGCGCCAGATCCTGGGAATTCAAGTTCTTGCTCTGGAAAAGAGTCCTCCCAACTAGTGAGATGCATATAGAAATAGCCATAGGGCAATACTGAAAGTGTAATGACAGAACAGTTCACAGGGGAATACAGGCACTAAGGAGAAAATATCTAGTCCACCCTGTGGGATCACAAGCTTCCAGAAGAGGAGACTTTCGCATGGAGTATTAAAATCAGGGAGGGTGGGAGTGGGTTGGAGAGGGGAATCAGCCAGGCATTGTGCTTACAAAAATCATAAGAGTTTTTATGCAACTAGAGAGCAAGATTGGAGTGACAAGAAATGAAGAGCTAGGGCAGACAGATATAAGGTTCTAGAGAGCTTTTCAATGTTTTTTGAGGGGCTTCAAGTTTATCCTGAGAACAGTGACTAGCAAAGGAAGGTGTTAAAGCTCAGATCTGACGGTGGCATTTTCTGCATTTGAGCTTTCAAAGATTTATGAAGAAACCAGCGAACAGGCCAGACTGGAAGGAGCTCTGGCAAGGCATCAGAGTGAGATGTTGTTGGTATATGCTGGGTTTCCCATGTCTGGGGGGGGGGGGACAGAACTCAAGATGCAGAAGGTAGAACCACAGCTCCTGCAAACAGCAGGAATTGGGAGGGGCCAGGAAGAGGAGCCAAACATGATTTTCCAGCTCTGTTTTGGGTAACCGTGTTGATGGCAGGACCCCAACTAAAAGACTAGAAAGGAGCAGAATGGGGTGGGGTCAGGACAGGGTTAGGGGTGCTGCATGTGCTCACCACATACACTTCAGTTTGAAGTGCTTATGTGAGCAGGAGCAGTGACCACTATGTAAATAACCTGTCTCAAGGAAATGGTACATCTCCCCTGCCTCCAGGGCTTCATGGGTAGTAGGTGAGATCATGTCCATTAAGGAGGCTGTGAAGACATATTTACAGACCAGCGCAATAATATACAAATAGGAAGACAGAGGAGGAAAATGAAATAGCTCAGAGAAGTGGACTGGTACAAACTATAATCTTGAAAACAGTGAAGCATGCCATGATTGTCAAGGCAGACTGCAGAAGAGAGCACCGATGAGTTAATCATTGAAAACTGTCCCCTGGATGCAGCAACTGGAAGTCACTGTAATCTCAGCAAGAGGCGTTTCCGTGAAAGTCTTGGATTAGAACCTAGACGATTATGGGCCGAGGAATAGGTGGAAAAAGTAATGCCCATTTGATGCAGAGGAAGAAAACAGTGCTGTCGGTCTGACTTTTTCCCCATTCATAAAAGAAGTACATTGATGCCTTGCAAAATAGCTATGGGAAGCAAAGAAGGCTGGTGAAGCAGATTGGCACAGCACCAAGAATACAGGTCTTCACCAATGGTATGACTGGTTGGCACTTTGTTGGGTGCCTATCTTTTGGTTGGGTCTCTGGAACAGCAAAGAAAGTCTTCCAGTCGGAGGTAACTACTAGAAGGAAAACATTAAAAGCACGGACCTAGGTTGGTATCTAGCCTTCTCTACCTACTGGTTGTTTCTTTCCTTTTCCTTTAAATTCCTTATTTTCTTTACATTTTTTATTTAAATTTTTATTTTTAAAAATTATTACCATGTATGTGTACACAATGTGGGGGGTGGATCCATATGCCATAGCACATGTGTAGAAGTCAGAGGACAACTTTGTGGAATCAGTTCTTTCCTTCTATCTTTGTGAGGGTTCCAAACCCAGGTTACCAGGCTTGTGCAACAAGCATCTTTACCTGCTGAGCCATCTCACGCACTCTTTATCTTTTTAAAAATATTTTATTTAGCTGGGTGTGGTGGCACACGCCTGTAGTCCCAGTACTTGGGAGGCAGAGGCAGGTAGATCTCTGTGCGTTCTAGGACAGCTGGAGCTACAGGGAGACCCTATCTTAAAAAGACTAAAAAAAAATTATTATTTTTTTCACGTGTACGAGTGTATTGCCTGCATATATTATTTTATTTATTATTTTTATTTTGTGTGTATGAGTGTATTGCCTGCATGCTTGTGAGTGTATCCATGTCATGCAATGTTACTGAGGTCAGAAGAGGGCTTTGGATTCCCCTGGAACTGGAGTTAAGGATGGTTTGTACCGCTATGTGGGTGCTGGGAATCAAACCCAGGTCCTCTGCAAGAGCAGTCAGTGCTCTTAACCGCTGAGCCGTCTCTGCAGCCCCTTACCCACTCTTTTTCAAAAAATTTTGTGTATTTATATGTGTGTGTGGGTGCCTTAGGTGTTTGTCCTTTGTCCTTTTAGCACAGGGCCTCTTGTTCCAGGCTAGCTGACGCCTAAGTTTTGGGGGCCCTGCTGTCTCTGCACTCCACCTTGCCACAGGAGCATGCTGGGATTAGAGAAACAGGCTGTGATTGGGATGTGGGGATATGAACTCAGGTCTTCACACCTGCAGGGCAATCACTTTACCCACTGAGCCACATCTCCAGCCCTAGTGATTTTTTAAGCAAGAACGTAATTGAAACTATCTGTCTCATCTCTAAATTGGAAGTGATTATAATAGCACCTATCTTACAGGGCTGTTGTGAAGACCAAATGAGATGATACAGTTCAAACAGAATGTGGCAGAGTAGGCAAACAGTAAATGTTGGACCATGGTCAAGAACACTTGGTGCATATTCTCCCCAAACCCAGCACTGTAGTGAGTGGCTACCGTTATCTGTGCTGATCGCTAAACATCAGCTGGTCTCTCCCAGCTCCCTGGCATTTGATCCTTTCCTGCTTTCCTTTGAGTCTGGCCACATCTTAACTTCATACACACTTCCTGCAAGGCCGCCACATGCCTCCAATCTTACCTTTGTTCTCCCAGCCCTTGATTCCAAGTTGCTGTCCTCTTTTACTCAGTTCCAGTCTGTCAAAATGAGCAATAAAAGCCAATCCTACATGAGATGTCTACTATCCGCCAGGAATTGCCATAAGGCTTTCTACAAATTATACACATTTCTCATTTTACAGCAAACCTGCAGTGAGATGATTCTCAGTCTATCAGATTAAAACACAGGGATCAGAGAAACTGGCTCTCTACAAACCACATAGCTAATCAAGAATGGAGACAGGAAATCCAGCTGAGGTCTGCCCAACTCCAACTTCTTTTCATTTACCTAAATTGCTTCCCAGTTACCACCAAAAGGGGTGTGATCCTGGTAACTAGCAAAGGCTCAGAGAATAAGCAGGCCTCAAAACAGAATTCCAAGAATATACCCACCTAGATTTGAGTAGCAGAGTTAGGATGAATTCATGATTCAACAATCCAGCTGGCAGACTGACTTGAGCAAAGCCCAAGGACAGAAAGTTCGAAAATGCTGTATCAGATGAAAAAGGCAAACTGAGGAAATACAACCAAGAGCAGGACACATGCTGCTGAGGTGTGGGGTGGTCGGCCACTGAGCCCTGGGGTCCTAAGATGAATAGTTAGCTCTGCCTGGCATGGGACTGCACCAAGACAACCCTTCCCAGTACTGCCATCCTGACAGGGTGCTATGGTCTGCCAGTCTTTCACAAGGAACTAAAGGGAGTCTGTCCTGGTCTCAGGACATACCAAAGCAGCACTGAGAGGTAATGTCATTGACCAGTCCTAGCTTTTGAATGACAAGTCTTCTCAAGTCTGGGTCACAAGCCAGACTTGGATGATCACCTCTGCCTGGGCCATGCCAGTGGGTGAGGAATTGTAGATGGCTGTGCCTTGACGCAATGCTACCCTCACCTGACACTCCTGCCTCTGATCTTGCTTTCTCCTCTGCTTTCTTTCTACACTATCTCATCAATTGGTTTTGATTTCTTGTCTATGCAGCATGCCCAAACCAAACTATCCTTTATCCTGTTGCCTGCAACAGTTTTGTTGCTTTTTCTTTTTGAGACAATGTCTGAGGGAGCTAAGCCTGGCCTCCAACTTGCTGTATAAGTTTGTCCTCCTGTCTCCATCTCCAACGAGCTGGGATTATAGGTGTACAGCACTGAGTTTTGTGCACGCTAAGCAAGCATTCGACCAACTACGCTACACCCCGTCCTACTGCCTGCATTTCTGAGGTTAATTTTCCACCGCTTTCCTCAAAATTGGAGGATCATTAAAGTCTGAGGATGAACTGCTGAAAGAATGGGCCTATTTTCTACAGTGAGTGGATAGTCTAAAAATAGCACATTTTCCTATTACAGTATTTGCCACTTAAATCTTTGATATTTAACTCTGATAGGAAAAACAAAGACTAATTTCTATAC